GGATTCCATCTCAAGTTGGCCTCCGAATGCATGATAGAGCTGATAAGTTAGCCAAAGAATCTGGCTTCAAAGAAGGAGTTGATTATAACCTTGGATTGCCTATAAGCAGTCTGAGAGCAAGAACTTCAACAAGATTTTGTAGATCTGAGGCAAAGTGAATTCGACACTAGTAATTCCATCTATCATCATACTATCATGCAAGAAGAGCCACACATCTATGATTCATCCAATAAAATCAGCAGAGTTCTAGATGTTACTACTGCTCGGCTTAGACTCGGTTACAAGTATCTCTGGGAATTCTCATTATCTGCTGATGTAGACCTGACCAAATGTAAACTGTGTCAACAAAATTATTCGCACACCCTCCGTCATTATGTGATGGAGTGCGAAAAGATACGTGAATTCAGAGACAATTCTATAACAAATGTTCCAAAGATGTGCAAATATTTCATTCAAAATGGTCTTGGCCAAATATCCCCAGTTTGCTAACTGTAGGTAGTAACTAAGTGATTGTAACCCATCCACCGCTGCCCACTGGATGGGGGGCGGTGTGCAGGACAAACATATCAATTATGACACTAACTCTCTACATATAACAGGTACATATGTCCACAGGTAAATATGTCAGTTGCCTTAATTTAGACTGTACTTGTGGTCGGTCTCGATTCCATTGTTGATGTAGCAATATACATTAAATTTTGTAACTAGCTCAAGACTGAAATTTGTCTAGCTACATGAATTGTGGGGTACAGTCCCTGAGCCCATTATGTGCCTCTGTAACCTTTTCGACTACCGCCCACAGGATGCGTATGGAATGAATAATAAATTAACTAAACTAAAAACTAACATGCCCTACGTCACTATGCAACTGAATGTGGAAATTGCCTCTTTGAAGAAAGTACAAAAACTGTTCGTAAACTTGTGCTGCATGCAAGTTTCTCACTTGTTAACTTCATTACCATGTACGATAACATTAACTACAGTATTAGACATGTTCAACACAATCATGTTCCTTTGAGGAAAGCCAGAAAAAGGTCCAACGTAGAAAGAGAACGCAGACGTAGAAAGAGAAATGCTTAAGCAGACACGACTTTCCCTACAAAGAAGGAATAATTTAAATAGGGAGACTGAAGAAATCGAGCGGAAATTGAAATACTCATATCAGACTGAAGAAAGGCAGTTAGAACAAAAAGCAATTCAGGAAATAAAGAATATGGAAGAAAATGCAGAATAGAACCAGTGAAGAGCAGAGGTGCCATAGGCACAATCAGAGAACACTGTATAAACATCAGAGGTCCACGGTTGTTCAACACCCTCCCAGCAAGCATAAGAAATATTGCCGGAACAACCGTGGACATCTTCAAGAGGAAACTAGATTGTTTCCGGACCCACCGGGCTGTGGTGGGTATGTGGGCCTGCGGGCCGCTCCAAGCAACAGTCTAGAGGACCAAACTCTCACAAGTCAAGCCTGGCCTCGGGCCGGGCTTGGGGAGTAGAAGAACCCCCAGAACCCCATCAACCAGGTATCAACCAGTACTGTAATGAGACCACCGTTGTAACTTGATCAGAACTTTGAGGCAAAAAGAATTAAGTTGTTTATCACACATGAAAATTACATATTTGAAGAATTTTAGAGCCCACAGAGCCTATTTTATGAGGCTAACCTTTTCGTCATTGCCCAGAAGATAGGTCAGGAGTCAATGAACTAATTAGACTCAGTTCTACACAGTTGGTCCACTATAAATAGAAACAATACAAAATTACTGCAATTTTTGTGTAATTTCAGAGCGGCTCACCAATCAATTGAGTAGCCTTGCAATTTAGAAAGTAAAAACCTTATAACAGCAATTATATATAACAAGAGCTTACACAAAGGTTCTGTATCTACTTTAGTGGATGCTATCTCATATAGGCGTAACTAATCATGATGACGTTAACAATTTAAATCACCTAAATATGTAATAAATATGAAATTGATTTAAATTTGTATATCCTCAATATTGCTCTAAACCACTCTACTCTAGATAACAAAATCCGATACTCAAAAAGCAGAAAGCACTATTGTTAAGAATACCGATGTGTTCACAGGTGACACGTTGTGTGTGGAGACCACCAGACGTCCACCAGACAGCGTGAGAGAACAGCCGGTGGTGGACAACCTCAGCTATGTGAAGATATATGAGAGAGAGGTAAGTGAAAGAGGTGGTCAGTCAGAATGATGGAGTATCCGTGCAAGGCCCCGTGCTACTTTTAGTGCTGTAAATGTAACTGGCAAATATTAAGAACTTGACTCCTTTGTGTTAATGTTTGCAAACAGCGTAAAGTTGATGCCGTGAATCCGGTTACTGTACATTGTTAGAATTTATCTTAAACAAATGCATGCTCGTGAGAATGGTAACAGATGAATTCTAGCACAGTGTAATGTTCAATGCCTATATATACGATCTACCAGAACGTACACAGTATTATATGAACATATTTGCTGATGATTCTAAGCTATTTGGGCAGATAACAGACTAAGTCATGCCCGTCAAGATGACCTGGATAAAATAAGTGTATGGAGCATCACGTGGCAAATGGAATTCAATGTGAATAAATGCCACGCTATGGAAGGTGGAATAGGGTAAAATACGCCACATACAGCTTACAAATTGTGTGGAAAGGAATTAAATGTTGTTGTTTTAGATTCAGCTACTTGGAACAAAAGTTCCATGTAGCACGGGCTATGGTGAGCCCTTAGTAGACTTAAAGAATTAAAGAACTCTAAAGAAGAAAGATATCTAGGGGAGGTTCTGGACAGTAGATCGTCACCAGTGGAACAAAGTATATTGTTTGAAGAACATATGCAACGCTTTCCAACTTCAGACTTGCTTCCAAATACATGGATGGGGTAATATTAAAGAATTTGTTCACTATGTTTGTGAGACCAAAACTGGAATATGCAGCTGTTGTATGGTGCCCAAATCTCAAGACGCACATCAGTTAACTGGAAAAAGTGCAAAGATATGCAACTATATGACTTTAGGAACTTATAAAATAAGAGGTAAGAGAAGAGACGAGAGGCATTAAATATACCAAAGCTAGAAGAACAAGAGGTGATATAATCATTACGTTCAAAATTGTAACAGGAATCGAAAAAAATTGACAAAGAGGAATTCTTGAGAACAACTTCAAGAACAACAGGTCACAGATTCAAGCTAAAGAAACAAAGATACCGAAACAAATATTAGAACGTTCTCCATTGCAAACAGAATGGTATATTGCTAAAAAGTTAGGTGAGAAGACTATGGGTGGCAGAACCGTCAGTAGTTTCAGGGGGAGTCATATGACAAAGAGTGTTGGGAAGACGGGACACCACGAGCGTTGCTTTTGTCCTGTAACTAAACTTAGGTAATTACACACACACACACACACACACACACACACACACACACACACACACACACACACACACACACACACACACACACACACACACACACACACACAGAAGAGCCGGGAACCCGGCTCACACACACACACACGGGAGCCGGCCGGCCGAGCGGACAGCACGCTGGTCACGTGATCCTGTGGTCCTGGGTTCGATCCCGGGCACCGGCGAGAAACGATGGGCAGAGTTTCTTTCACCCTATGCCCCTGTTATCTAGCAGTAAATAGGTACCTGGGAGTTAGTCAGCTGTCACGGGCAGCTTCCTGGGGTGTGTGGGGGTGTGGGAGAAAAAAAAGTAGTAGCAGTAGAAACAGTTGATTGACAGTTGAGAGGTGGGCCGAAAGAGCGGAGCTCAACCCCCGCAAGCACTAGGTGAATACACATTGAGTATCATGGCCGAATGCTCAACATCCGCATTTTCACACTCTAGGGACCCGTTTTGATGCGCGGCTGAAACTTACTCATACCTCTCAGTCCCTGGACAAGTCTGGTGGCATACCGCTGAATCTTCTCTAACTTTGTCTTGTGTTTAACTAGATATACAGTCTCCGTGGTGTAGTGGTAAGACACTCGCCTGGCGTTCCGCGAGCGCTATGTCATGGGTTCGTATCCTGGCCGGGGAGGATTTACTGGGCGCAATTCCTTAACTGTAGCCTCTGTTTAACGCAACAGTAAAATGTGTACTTGGATGAAAAAACGATTCTTCGCGGCAGGGGATCGTATTCCAGGGACCATAGGATTAAGGACTTGCCCGAAACGCTACGCGTACTAGTAGCTGTACAAGAATGTAACAACTCTTGTATATATCTCAAACAAAAAAAAAAAAAAAATATATATATATATATATATATATATATATATATATATATATATATATATATATATATATATATATATATATATATATATATATATATATACATATATATATATATATATATATATAGACTCCAAGCAGGACCTGCATATTCCAGGATTGGTCTAACATAAGTGGTATATAGGGTCCTGAACGATTCCTTACACAAGTTTCTAAAAGCAATTTTTATGTCGGCACTTGTGTCCCCTAGTGCGTGTGCCCCTTGAGTTAAATAAACTGTCTTTATCTACCCTATCAATTCCTCTGAAAATCTTCCTAACTTTTCTGTCTTCCAGCGACGTGAGGCTTAATTCCCGTAGTCTCTCCTCGTAGCTCATACCCCTCAGCTCGGGTACTAGTCTAGTGGCACACCTCTGAAACCCTCTGAATCTCTGGTGGCAAAACCCCTGTGTCTGTGAGAAAGAGAGAGAGAGAGAGAGAGAGAGAGAGAGAGAGAGAGAGAGAGAGAGAGAGAGAGAGAGAGAGAGAGAGAGAGAGAGAGAGAGAGAGAGAGAGAGAGAGAGAGAGAGAGAGAGAGAGAGAGAGAGCAATATAATGCAGATATGATAGAGAAAAACAGGTCCCAAGTCAGTATATTATACGGCTGACCGTTGGAAAGGCGGGGTCCAAGCACTAACAGTTCGATCCTGCAGGCACAAATAGGTGAACACACACCAATATGAGGGAGGGAAAACAGAGTGAGAAGTTACTCACAGAGCAGCGATGCCAGCCTTCCTGACGGCGTTGGATATGCACTTGACGGCCGTCTGGATGCCCATCATCAGCATGGTGAGCTCGCCCGTGGCCTCCGGGTGCTTCTTCTGCTCCTTCAGGATGAACCGCGTCAGCGTCACGCAGTTCGTGTTGATCTTTTCATTCGACATTTTAACCTAAATCAGAACACCAATTCAGTGTACCGCTGTAGCATAACAGAAGGCAGTGTTAGTCTATTGACCCCAGATTTAATTAGCTTTGTATTCCCTGTATTATTGTTTGAAATTTCAAAACATTGTTCATCTGTATATATGAGTGCAGCCTTGAAGGAGACAAGTCTTCTGTTTTTGCATCCTCACTTGGAGACTGTCAACCCCAATGATCGCAATATATGGACAAGACGACAAATATCTTTCAAGGTGCCTGACACTGAACAATGACAAGATGACAAGACTATATTAAAAATCACAACACTTCTACACACCAGCATTCTTTCATACTTACACTCTTTCAGGTCAACACTCTTTCAGGCCAACATTTTCACACCAACACTCTTCATACCAACACTTTCACTCCAACACTTTTATTCCAACACTTTCACACCAACACTTTTACACAACACTTTCACACCAACACTTTTACACCAATACTTTTACACAACACTTTCACACTAACACTCCTTCACACTAAGATTACTGTATACAAGCATGGAGATCTCATCTTCAGGACATAGCTGCTCTGGAGAAAGTGCAACACAGGGCAACAAAAATCATTCCGCAGCTAAGTTAACTCACGTATCAGGAACGGTTGAGGGCCACAAGGCTGACAACACTGCAAACCACGGATATCATCGAAACTTTTAAAATACTGAACAATTTGGAGAATGTTGATCCGGACAATTTCTTCGAAAGGTCAGATGTAACACAAACAAGGAGCAACGGTTTCAAGCTCAACAAGCCACAATGTAGGACTGAGAACTGGAGATGCTTTTCGCCCACAGGGCTATAAACTCATGGAACAGCCTACCCGCCGAAGCCGTAAATGCTAAAACTCTTAACTTTTAAAGTACAACTGGAAAAGATCATCAAAGCAAATGGGGGGACCTTCGACAAGCCGCCGGCTTTCTGTCCTCGTCGAGACCATTAATGTTAGTGGTTCTCAGGTAAACTCAGGCAAACATCAACACTCTTTCACACTAACATTTAACCATAGCAACAACAACATTCGAGAAAGGTAACATCATGATTTGACAAAATTAACATCAGTAATCGAAAACAGAAAGATCGATATTTTATAAAAATAACATCAATATTTTAACCACAATAGATTCAACTTTTTAAATTAAGAACAGAACCATCAATATTTTAACCACAGTAGAATCAAGATTTTAGCAACAGAAACATCAAAATTTTAACCACATAAACAACGACATTTTAAAACCAGAAACATCAACATTTTAACCACAGTAACATCAGCATTTTAACAACAGAAACATTAACATTCTAATCACAATATCATCAACATTTTAGCAACAGAAACACCAACATTTTAACCACAGTAACATCAACATTTTAACAATAGAAACATCAACATTTTAACCATAGTAACATCAACATTTTAACAATAGAAACATCAACATTTTAACCACAGTAACATCAACATTTTAACCACAGAAACATCAACATTTTAACCACAGAAACATCAACATTTGACAAAATGAAACATAATTTTATTATATTGTAATTAAAACTGTTATCAAAAGTGATACGAACACTGTGTCACAGTACCAACACTATATTGCAGTGATGTGTTCACTTATCACAATACCAACTGTGTATTGCAGTAATATGAACACTGTATTCATATTTGCTGTAATACACCGTAATATGAACACTGTACCACAACAGCAAGATGACATGGACAAACTCAAGGAATGATTCAACAATTGGGTACACTGTAAAATAGATTATGTCAACACTGTAAAAATAGATTATGTCAACAATGTAAAATAGATAACGTCAACACTGTAAAACAGGTAACGTCAACACTGTAAAACTGCTAACGTTAACTCAGGTCCTCCAGGCCGAGCGGACAGTGCTCCTGAGTCGTGATCCAAAGGGCTCGGGTTCGACCCGGCCGAGGCAAAAACAAATTTTATTCAGGAAATTTTAAATGGACAGAGTTTGTTTCACCTAATGCTTCTGCTCACCTAGCAGTAAACAGGTAACTGGGAGTTAGACAGCTGTTCCGGGCTGCGTTCTGTGGGATGTGTGTTTGTCAGATTAAAATATATGTAGTAGATATGATAGAGAAAAATCGGGAGTCAGTACATTCGACAACCGACGGCTAGAAAGGCGGCGTCCAAGAGCTAAAGGCTCGATCCTGTAGCCACAAATCGTAAATACTGTAGAACAGTTTAGCAACACTGTGCCAGAGTAGCGTCAACACTGTACCAGAGCAGCGTCAACACTGTGCCAGAGTAGCGTCAACACTGTGCCAGAGTAGCGTCAACACTGTACCAGAGCAGCGTCAACACTGTGCCAGAGTAGCGTCAACACTGTGCCAGAGTAGCGTCAACACTGTACTAGAGTAGCGTCAACACTGTACCAGAGCAGCGTCAACACTGTGCCAGAGTAGCGTCAACACTGTGCCAGAGTAGCGTCAACACTGTGCCAGAGTAGCGTCAACACTGTACCAGAGCAGCGTCAACACTGTACCAGAGTAGCGTCAACACTGTACCAGAGTAGCGTCAACACTGTACCAGAGTAGCGTCAACACTGTACCAGAGTAGCGTCAACACTGTACCAGAGTAGCGTCAACACTGTACCAGAGCAGCGTCAACACTGTACCAGAGTAGCGTCAACACTGTACCAGAGCAGCGTCAACACTGTACCAGAGTAGCGTCAACACTGTAAAACCAGGTAACGTCAACATTAATACCACTATAACATCAACACTGTACCACAATAAGGCTAACACTGTGAGACAGAGTAACGTCAACACTGTACCACAGTAAGGTCTAACACTGTGAGACAGAGTAACGTCAACACTGTACCACAGTAGCGGCTAACACTGTACCAGAGTAGCGTCAACACTGTACCAGAGTAAGGCTAACACTGTGAGACAGATAGCGTCAACACTGTGCCAGAGTAGCGTCTAACACTGTGCCACAGATAGCGTCAACACTGTGCCAGAGTAGCGTCAACACTGTACCAGATAGGGTCAACACTGTACCAGAGTAGCGTCAACACTGTGAGACAGAGTAGCGTCAACACTGTGCCAGAGTAGCGTCAACACTGTAGACAGAGTAACGTCAACACTGTGCCAGAGTAGCGTCAACACTGTGCCAGAGTAGCGTCAACACTGTACCAGAGTAGCGTCAACACTGTGCCAGAGTAGCGTCAACACTGTGCCAGAGTAGCGTCAACACTGTGTCAGAGTAGCGTCAACACTGTGCCAGAGTAGCGTCAACACTGTACCAGAGTAGCGTCAACACTGTACCACAATAAGGCTAACACTGTGAGACAGATAACGTCAACACTGTACCACAATAAGGCTAACACTGTGAGACAGATAACGTCAACACTGTACCACAATAAGGCTAACACTGTGAGACAGATAACGTCAACACTGTACCACAATAAGGCTAACACTGTGAGACAGATAACGTCAACACTGTACGTCTCTTACAGCAGAACTGCGTCCTAAAGACCGCCGGTGGATAGTTTGACTGGAGGAAGGCTGGGATTGGAAGAGAGGTTGACGATCAATTGAGCAGTGCCGCCCTCCCCTCACACGGGGCCACCTCCCCCCCCCCGAGTTCGTGACTTCCCTCGTGTCCGGATTGACATTGACCTTCAGAAGAGCGCAGAGGACCCCATGACTCGTGAGGGAAATAAACATGGCCCTCGCCAAGGAAAGAATCCCAAGTTTGCCTACTGTAGGCTGCACACACAGGAAGACTTCCTGAGTATACTGAGACGCTGTAGCCTGCCACCAATACATGTAAATAAATACGATACAAATGTACATTCCCTGCCGTACACCCACTTGGGCTGGACGGTAAAGCGACGGTCTCGCTTCATGCAGGTCGGCGTTCAATCCCCAACCGTCCAAGTGGTTGGGCACTATTCCTTTCCCTCGTCCCATCCCAAATATTTATCCTGACCCCTTCCAAGTGGTATATAGTCGTAATGGCTTGGTGTTGTCTCCTAATAGTTCCCTTCCCTTTCCCAGACCCCGCCCTCTACATGTGAGTGTCGTGCCTTACTCTGGTGACGGGGAGGAGGACGGCGGGTGGTGGTGGGGCACTACACGACGGTGGCACTGACGGTGGTGGGGCACTACACGACGGAGGCACTGATGGCGGCGGGTGGTGAAGCACTACACTGGGTGGCGCTTCTGCCACCTCACCTCTATACCACCGGTGTCGGCCTGGGACGCTGCCAGAACCACATTCATACTCTGTTGCTACTCTTTCCTTTGTTACTGTTTATGTTTATCTTAATGTTGTAGATGCTGCTGCTGTTGTTATTAGTCTTTATTACTCTTGCTGTAGGTATTCCTACTGCTGCTGTTGTTAGCCTGCTGTTTATGGCGCCATTGTTCTTACTGCCGTCTCTACTCTCATCCCTCCACCAATGTATATTTGGATATACCTACACTCTGTCGGGGGAGAGCAAGATGACTACATGATCACCCATCTAGTTACTAGCCAGACCCAAAATGCGGTTTATTTGTTTTTGTCATATGCATGTACTATTTGGATGTTGCAAGCTAGAAGAACGCTATGAAAGTACAGTTACATATAATAGTAACAGTCTGATACCTTTACATGTGTATCATTATTAGTACTTGAAACCAATTTAAAAATAATTTTGCCATTAGTTATTTATTCGCAAAATGTTTGAATTGTTGAAGTGACTACATTTTGGTCGCCAATTTGTTGGCAAAATGAGTTCCAAAATGCGTATTTCGTGTGGTAAGAGCGTCAAAATTGCTAGGTTGAAAAGAAATATCTTGCAGTTTTAAATATGATAGGCTACCTATTATTTTGTAGTTTTATTCTTGAGCATGAGAGTTGTAAGGAGCTAAGTGGGTGAACATTTTCTATGTGCTTTGTTAAATACAAGCAGACCACTCACAGTTCCTCAGTTATTGAGTCTGTTCAAACATAATCATCTCAAGATAACCAGTGACTGGGTTATATCATAGCTTCTCTCACACTGGCTGTGTGGTTCTCTTTCATCTTTTCAAACAATACATCACACGCCCACGAGAGGCCATCGAGAGTGTGTCTGTCAGTCTGCCTCCACGTCTGGTGGTTTTATTTCACTAAATTGATGATGCGTCAGTAGAGCCGCCCCAAGAGAACAGCGGTGAGGTCCAATGGTATATGGGAGCCAGCAGCTGATATAAACAGACGATATTTGTCGGAGTGGTCTTTACGGGCTCACTATAGTCTGTGCTACATGGAAATTTTGTTCCGAGTAGCTGAATCTAAAACAACAATAACAACATCGGAGTGGTTACCGGCACATCTGTGCCAGGTGAGTACAACGGGCTCACCATAACCCGTGCTGCTTGGAACTTTTTGTTCAGAGTAGCTGAATCTAAAACAACAACAGAATGGTGCAACGGAATCTGAACGACAAGGCAGCTTCGACGGCCATAACAATGTTGGCACAGTATATAGACGGTGATTGGCAGTGACGAAGTATTAGCAGGCCAATGCTAAATAACGGCCATTTATTAAATGGTGGCCCAAGTATGGACAATGAATTAAAGTGCCGAAGTAGCGGTAGAACTTGTTAAGATAGTTTAACGTATCAAGATAGAAGACACGGATAGAAGGATAGTGTGATTATGGTGCAAAGTGGACTACAGTGCATGCGCGAGTGTACCAGGAAGGTCCACAGCGCAAGTATCTCTGCACGTAACCGTAATTTAATTGTATTCTGTTAGCAGCCTCCTCTTGGCTGTGTGACCGCACAGCCAAGAGGACGTCGGGACCGGGAGCTGTACCCTGTGAGGAAGTCACGGGAACAAACAATCATGCGTGATTGCTGTTGAAGAACTGCTGAGTTTTCTACTGGAGACAGCAGAATATACAACAAGCGACCTTACCGGCTACAACTATAAATAGCTGTGCCCATTAGAAATTAAAATAATAATAATAATAATGTTTATTTAAAAATATACAAAAGAGTAGTATACATTGGTTTCCTAATTGTTACAAAAGTCTGTATATTTAATAAAGTCATTAATACGCATAGCGTTTCGCGCGTAACTTAAAATAATTCACTAAGGTTGTATAAAGGTTTAATGAAGTAGACAGTACCAAACAAGAAGCAAACATAAACATAATTCAAGAAATTTAGCAAATGATATAGAGCTTCAAAGACCGGAAAGCTTCATAGACACTGATTTTGCCAAAAAGCGGTGGGTTTTCTGTGAGAAGAAAACGTAACTCTCAGAGTTGCGTCCAAACGTCTGAGCAGCGCGCGCACCGAGTGGGGGTACATATATTGAGTGCCTGCGCCCCGGCGTACACACCATTTGGTCACCACTTGGTCCGGGAGACATCTCCCGTCACGCAGGGTGCAGTTACGCCTCCACAGATCTCCAGTATCATCTTTTGATACTGGTAATGGCTCGAAAGGGCCACCACTTACGGGCTATTCATGCCCGTGCCACCTCTTGGGTGGCTTAATCTTCATCAATCAATCAATCCCGGCGTACACTGTTTCGCCGTCCCGCAGACGCAGATGCAGACCCATGGCTATTCTCTATTATTATTTAAGGATAATAATTCATTGTTATTCACTAATTTTTATTAGTCACATAATTAATTATTATCCACTTAAACTATCTATTTTAGTCGCCATAATTAGTTATTATGCTTCGTCATAATTAATGTTTATTATTATAATAATTATTTATTAATTATTAAATAAACAAGTCCCCCACTCTGTGCGCGTTTTCTTCCAACCACAGAAAAAAGACATTATGTAAACAAGAAGTTGAAAGATTTGAAAACAATTGACAATTTCATAAGAGACATTTATCAACAGCCGTTACCTTAACAATACAAAGTTACTATTTTTAAAATTGTAGGTGAGATTAGAGAAAAAAAAGGACATTTAGAATTTTAGGGACAGTATATATGTAATAATTAAGAATTAAAGTTGACAATAACATGATAACACAGTATTAACATGTAGGATGGGAGAGGGGAGAAAAATTCATTACATCAAGTGAATAAGATAGTTCTTAGTCTGTCTTTTAAACTGGTCAGGAGAAGTACAATTTTTTATCTGATCTTTAATTTGCAGAACATTTCTGCTTCGTTAAGTTGTTCTCTTGGAAATTCAAAAATATATTTTTTTTCGTTTGATGTCTATGGGTTGATTGATTGATGAAGATTAAGCCACCCAAGAGGTGGCACGGGCATGAATAGCCCTTAACCCATGGATTGATTGATGGAGATTAAGCCATCCAAGAGAGGACCCAAAGGTTCTGTTACAGCCCCTTAAGAAGCACCTCAGATCAGGATTAACATTACAATGCAAAGTTTTACAGATGTCGAGCACACTAAAGAGGATTTGCAGCGACTTGATACTTACCACATTCAAAGATTTCAGTAAGGCAGACGAGCGCCGTCTGGGACAGGTTTTTATTGTTCTAATCGCTGATTTGTGATGAGTAATAAGGAAGTAAGTAATTATCAAAAAAGGCGCCAAGCCGGGGAGACTATGTAGTAATAGTCGAGGCCACTAACTAGAGACTCTCAGGTAAATGAAGGTAAATTTAATTGCGTTCATTTTAAATGTATAATTGCCTATAAGCAACTTAAAAACAATAATACACCAAGAACTTTAACACTACCTTGCAGATCTGAGGTAATTCCATCAATCAATCAATCAATCAATCAATCAATCAATCAATCAATCAATCAATCAATCAATCAGTCAATCACTCAATCAATTGTACCGGTAAAGTGCGAGCGGGAAGTGGAGATAGACAGACCCTACGTCCGTTTTCCCGAGGGATATACTCTGGAGTTCTTCACAGCTATTGGAGCTACAAGTTTCGGAGCTATAGGGGCTACAGCTCCATATGGCTGACACCGTAGCACTCGTTCTACTTTTGGCCTGTTGCTCCAGCACGGCTCCTTCAGAGAACTATTACAGCCCGCCACATCAAGTCCACACGATGCAGGAGGAATCCCTCAACAGAGCAATATGCTTGCCGGAGCAGAGGCCAGTTAAGATCATCTCTTGCAATACACTCCATGCAATGCTGCTGGCCCCAGCAAGGGACACTAGACATTATGTCTTAGCATGGCCTTATCTTCTCTTCCATCTTTTTTCTCTGTTCTTTTTTTCGTCCCATGGGGCCGTTGACAAGCGACCTGGGGTCCGTCCGTCCTGGGCGAACCAATGTTGGTGGGACCGACTGGAGTCGTTATTGTTCCTCTTCCGTGTTGAGTGGGGTCGTCGGCAGGACGACGTGGTGTCCACTGGGGTCCCGATGGTGGTGGACATCGTCCTCTGGGGCCCAGTATGTTCTGAAGAAGACGACAGACAACCTGGAGCCAACCGTGAGGGCTGGCTTGGGGTCCCCTGGGGTGGTGGTGGAGCCATGGGGTGGTGGAGGGCTGGTCGTGGTGAGGAACACCCGTGAGTGTGGTACAGGGCGACCAGGTAGTGTGTTGTAGTCATTGCGGTAATTCGCCTTGGCTATAGGCACATCAGGCAGGCTAGTGAGGCTGAGCCACTACCAGAATATTCACCATGTAAACTCTGTGACAAACCTTTAATGCATGCACTAGAACGCTATACTGTTGAATGTGAAACCGTAAAAGATTTTAGACCTCCTGGCCTATTGTACCGCCAACTGTGTAACTATTTCATTGACTCTGGTGTACTGGACGACATCCTAACAATTTATAATAAATTTGTTTGTTCATTTTAAGAATGAAGAACAATTTTATGTATTTTATTTTTAAGCTGAATCTTTTATGGATCAATCCCTGCCCTTGTGTGGCAGTGCACAGTAGAAAGTTGTATTTACATATTCGTAAATTGAAACATGTATACAGCCTAATGTAGTTGATTGTAACAATGATATATATATGTGCTTCAGCCTACAGTTTAGACGTATTCTCTTGTGTATGATCCTCTGCCCTGTGTGACAATGAATACCAGCATTATCCTCACTCTAATAAGACCTAATTGAATTTCTCAGATTAGGCAAAATTTTAATTAATTTTTGTCAATAAAGATGTTAATAATAATAAAGCCGTCTCCGTCCTGTGTATTGTTACCTATCGTTCGTTACGGCTCGTGACCCTACAGCAGCCAAGCTTTAATTACGTCTAGGGACACGAGAAAACTGCTGTTCTCAAGAGCGGGTCACCAGTATAACCCCTTGATAAGTAATGAGCACGTAAATAAAAATCTTCCTTTAGGACTGAAGAATATATACAAAATATTATATAGATATATATTCAAGACAGTATAATATAAAAACACAGATGGTAAAGTTAACTTATA